ACAGGCCCTAGACCCGGGCTACTTGGACTGGTACCGGCCTACCTCTAACCTACCGCTACTGGGCCTCTAAAAATGCCAACTTTTTGTCTTCTTCTGCTCGGCCTACCTGCTACTTGAGTGTTTTTCCCCAGCTGCTCTAAGTGCCGTGGGCCTACCCCACCCGCTACCGGCGTGTCTACCCCCCTGCAACCCTCACAGTCACGGCCACAGCTAAGTACCGGCCCCGTGGGGCCTTGCAACCAACAAGTACCCTTGCGGGTCACACACACATACCCAACCAGCAAGCACTCAGACAGGCATGCAAACCAGCAGGCACGCACACACACACACACACGGCAAGCACTCAGACAGGCATGCAAACCAGCAGGCACGCACACACACAGACTTGGGACCACAGCAGCATGCGGGAATCACAGCAAGGCATTCATTCCAGTGAAAATCCCAGAAATCAGCAGTGTTCTCAGTCTGTGTTTTTGGCGGGTCATTACACTTTTCATTTAGGATTAATTAGGATGTGTACTTTATTCTCATTTCGTTTCCGTGGCAGTTGGAGAAAAGCCTTCAAGACACGCACAAGGCTTCCCCTGTAAGAGGTCTCACTGCCAAATCTGCCCTTCCAACCTCAACCACTCCCTAAACAAAGGTACTACCGTAGTTCGTTGCACAGCATCAGGTTCAGGTCTGTAGCAGCGTTAGAGGGATGGGATGATTCTCACTACAAGACCTTGCGCAGGACTTATTTCGCCCTCTGCACCTCCAAGATCCCATCATGCTGTCGGAGTCCAGAATAAGTTCAAGAAGATATGAAAGGATGTCACCTGAAACAGGTCAAGCAGGTAGTCCCTCGTTACCACAAACAAAAAAGAAAAAGTATTGCCAGTTGTTTGTGCACTTTCCCCATCAGGTCGGGTAGCAGATGGAAAGAAAGAAAACATGGGATTGTGGGAAGGACAAAGGATTCGGCAAAAGCAATCAAAGTGATAGCATCAATGTCTGGAGACACTTAAGACTGCAATCTTACCATCACTACAATGTATGCCAAATTTTGAATCATCGATCTGGACGTTTTTAGTTGGAAACGGGACTCGAAGACATTGAAAAGAAATGGAACGCAGACAGATGGGAGGGGAGCAGACAAGAGGAGGGCCAGGAGGAGGGGAGAGGGAAGAGGGACAGCCGACTGAGAGACACTCACAAGCAGACAAGATGGAGAGACAGACAGACAGACAAACAGACAGACAGATTGACAGACCGGCAGATCAACAGACAGACAGACAGACATAGAAAGAGACACAGAGAGACACAGAGAGACATAAAGAAAAAGAGAGGGAGGGCATAGCACTCACAGCTCACCTGCTCTGCATAACATGGAGAGAGAAAGAGAGAGAGCATGACATTCACAGCTGACCTGATCTGCAAAACAGGACATCTCCATAGTGGCGCTGCACTCTTTGCATCTCAAATCGACAAATTGTCTTCAACAAGATTATAAGTCGCCGGTCCTCTGGCGCATCAAGAGGAATTACATGCTCCAAATCCGCTCCACACGGAAGAGGGTATTGTGGGATGGAACCTTTTTGAAACAATGAACCTAAGCATCGAAATCCCAGCACCCAACACAAACCAGCATCATCAACGACCACAAACGAACCCGCACCCTCTCCCCTCCTCTCAAAGACGTCCAGAAGCACAACATAGTTGCCACATACCCGCAGACATTGCAAGACAATGCAACGCACATTCTTGACTGAATCTGGCTGTAGGTGCAGTAAGATACATCCAAGAAATTTCCAGTGCAAGTACGCCCTCAATTCCAGTTCGGCCGATCCTTCTCCAATTGCATGCCATCATCTCCAAGTGACACAACAAGCCCCAGATCCTAATCACCAGTGTGAGGACCCAAGATCCTCCCAACAGAAAGCAAGAGGACTCATAGGCCCTAAGCACAGGCCCAGAGGGGTAAAACCCGGTCAGGCCAGGGGTTGGACTCAACTAGGCGCTGTGCTAGCACGAGAAAGAAGTGTCTTCAGCCAACTGACCAGCACCAGCCATAGCTGGGCTGAGAGAAAAGGATGCCCCCAGGCTGATTAGGGATTGCATTGACCAGGAGAGGTGCAGCATACAGTATCCCCGGACCAGCGGCAGCCATGTCTGGAGAAGAAGGCCGGCACCATAGCAGGTTGGGCGCTGGGGAAGAAGGATGGCAACACAGCAGGTTGTGCACTCCTGAAGCAGGCGGGCGCCATAGCAGGTCGAGCGAAGCAAGTCGGCACCATACCAGGTTGGGCGCTGGGGAGGATAGCTGACGCCATAGCTGTGAGGTGCCAAGAAGGAAGAAGCCAGTGCCAAACAAGGAGATCCTTGCGGGGAGAGGAAAACCACCAAGAAGGGAAGAGTTGGTGGATGTTGACAAGGTGGATCTGTCGCTTTTAACCGCTCGGCCACTCTCCCTAAGAATTCAGCATCCTACAGGATTTGAACCTGTGAACTTCAACTTAGAAGGTCGTTGCCAACTTGGAAGGTTGTTGCTCTATCCATCTGAGCTAAGAATGCAACTCAACCAAAACAGTCAACGCAGCCGCCACAACGAGTTGGTGGATGCTCACAGGGTTGATGGCAGGAAGGAGCTCCAATGTCACAACCTCTTCAAGCGGTCATCATCAGGAATCAAAGTGGTATGATGCTCCACGGCATGGCATGGTGGTACTTTACAATAGCATAGCTAATACAGCGAGAGCTATTAATTGATTGTCGGAGGTGACAAGAGGGGGCTTTCATCGCCAAAAGATTTCAACAGTCTAATTTATTGTGCTTGCATGATCATTGCTTTGTCAGTTCGGCTTATCACCTTGTTGTCGTGTGAGATTTCCACACTAACAGAACAAGAATAACGATATAGTTCAACCATAGCTTGAGAATATGGAGTTTTCCTTTCTTTTCTTAAATACGGCAATAAAAGCGATGGCCGAGAAATCGACTTTTTTTTTTTTTTTTTTTTTTTTTTTAACAGGGCCTTATGGTCCTGGCTCCTTTCCATTCTGGGGAGCGTCAGTCCGGTTCCTATTCCACCGGCAAGCAGAAATCCTTTGTAAATGGCGAAGAACGAGTCAAGCGATGCCTGAGGATGAGGAGCAACAAAATAGGATCAGAATGAAGTTTACCAGGCTATGGCTTTTAAATGGCAGGGTGGCTGAGCTGAGGAATAATCACATACGATGGAAGGACTGGCACAACTCGGATTTATGCCGGAGAAATCAGCTCTTGAGGTAGGGGTTCAAGTCTGCTGAAGATCGGGAACGTGAATGCAGTGGGTTTTGGACGCCTTCAATTGACAGGGATCTGGGTGGTGCAGGACTGGGCTGAAGTACATCAGGTTGATGGCCGCAGCAAGCCAGAGAAGAGAGGCTTCGAGCAGGAATTAAGAATGAGGACCACGGGTCTTCAGACCATACCGAAGAAAACAGGAATGGATAGGGTATGCCTGTGGGCCAGCTTTCAAGAGGATTATCCAATGGTAGGCAATAGAAGGGTTTAGGGTTTAAAGGGTTTTAGCTACGGGATCAGATCTTTGGAAGGAAAACTCCACGTGGAAGGATGAGATTGAGGGGGTCGGAGGAGTGGACAGTTTTAATGGCGACAAGAGGAAGGAAGGCACTATGGAGCAGGCGGAGACCCACTCTGAGAAGTCTCAGCCAAGATAAAGGTCTAGCGTTGAAGATAATGACGACACCCTTATAAGGGTAACATAAATAAAAAAGATTGGTGGAGTAGTTCGCTCTTTGATACCCTTGTATGGGTAGCATAAATAAAAAACATTGGTGGAGTAGTTCTTTCTTGTTGATAGGGATAGATCTGGCAGATCTGGGATTTGATCTGAGAGGGAAGAATGAAACATGGCAAGCTGACAGTCAATCCTCCAGAGGTCTGGAGTAATCAATGCTGTTCAGGGGTCCTTCGGGCAGACGGAAGGAAGCGTGTGTTGTTCATAATGTAAAGAAATCGACTTTTCTAAATCTTTCCAATTTGCACGTTGGGAAACATAACAGTTCATGGTTACTTGTGATCTGAGTTTTCTCCGGAGCAGGTTCCTTGGAATAGGGAAGAATTCGGGGGGGGACCGGGGGAAGGGAGAGGGGGGGGACCAAAGAAGTAAAAAAGAAAAGACTGAATTTGCAAGGTTTTTGGATGATTTCTTCCTCCAACAGAATTCCATCATTTCGGCCCGAGGCTACACGACAACCCAACAATCACAACAAACCAGATCATTTTGCACCTCCTTTTAAACGGCCCTACTCCTCTTGTTTCCATGGTGCCCACCAAGGGTCCCAAAACGCTCAATAAAGCCAACCGCGGCATTTTGCTGCCTCGAACAGACACCAAATCCCCCTACTTGAACTCTCATGTATCAGCTTTGTTATATGCGGACTTGAGGGTATGCTGTTGCACAAACACAGCCTCGTCATCCCACACTGAAGTTGAATAATAAGGGCATTCTGACCTTCGATTTCCCGACCTCTCTTCTTCCACCCCTTGAAGAACTCCAGGGACTCCACGTTTCCATTCAGCGGCTCCAGCGCCTGTCAGTGACAGCTCAGGGAAGAGAGGGGGAGATGCCGGGGACGGTGAACAGGTGGGGCCATAGTCATGCAGGGGAGGGCAGAAAAGAGAGTCAAGCAAATGTTCAGCTGACCATAGGCACATAGAACAATCAATGCATTAGCACCTACATTTCCTTAAACCACTACCGTCTTCCCCCGAACATAACACATATGTGTTGTATTCGAGTTTTCCAATAAACGGGTTTTTGGAAAGTTACACCCTTTTCTTCAAATACAAGGGCACTTGGAATATAACGCATGTGTTCTATTTGAACAATACGCATATGCGTTATATTTGAATTTCACGAAGAGAATTTTTTTGTATTCGAATATAACCTTTTTTTTTCCCCTGAAGGTCAACGCCTGCTCCGTTTTTGCCCTGATGAACGGGACAGGCCCGTGCAGGCCCGTAATCACAGATCACTGCCCGTGCTCTCTCTCTCTCTCTCTCTCTCTCTCTCTCTCTCTCTCTC